ATATCTGACTCAAAAACATTAGTTATGATTATTGCTTTCGTTATTGTTGTTATTGACAATCAAATACAGAAAGACACCCAAAATAGCTTATCTTCCTCAACTGGCAAAGACTTAAAGAAAAATCCAGTTCAAAAAGTCAAATTATATTTTTATCAAAAGCAAAACTGAAACAATACTTTTCTCCCCTCAAAATCTGTTTATAAAGGGTTAAAAAGGACAGTACATCAATATTAAAAGAGCTTTTTTTATTTGTTAATGTCACATAAGAAATTTAAGCAAGTTACACTATCTTAAAAAACACAATGGATGCATTTTAATAGAGAAACCCTTCCCTCCCTCCACCTCCCTCCCCCACCCTCCTCATGAATTAAGAATCTAAGAGAAGAAGTAACCATAAAACCAAGTTTTGCGGAATCCATCATCCAGAGTGCTTACATGGTGATTAGGTTAATATTGCCTTCTTACAAAATTTCTATTTTAAAAAAAATTGTAACCTTGATTGCTTATTACAAAAAAATTCGGTACAAAAGTTCAGTATATTGAAAAATGCATTCCCCCTCCCTCACAGCACCGTTATATATAGCAGAGAATAATGAAGAGCAGATTGCTGGTCTAGATGGAGCAATCTTCAAATTATACCGAGACTCACAGTGGTTTATTCACCCTCCCCTCCTCATCAGAACTTAAAAAAAAAAGAAAAAACACGTACAAAAAAAGTCAAAAAATGTGAGGAACCCCTTCCAAACAGTACACAGTTATTAAGTTCAGTGTCAATAATTCACATCTTGCAACAAAGTGTATGGACATGATTTCTTTTACAAAACTTTCAGTGTCAAAAAGGAAATTAAGGCCATCAGATTTGCAGCTTAAAAATTCACATAAAGGAAATATAAAAATATTCTGTGCTTCTGAGAAGGCTCTGCACTGTATACAGGTAAGGATTACCATACTTCTTTATTTTGAGGAAGACAGTTGATGAGAATTTTACATAATTGCACAGCTTCTATTGGATGTTCTTGGGGTTCCCTGATGAGGAAAACAGAAGGAAAAATTAACACTAAAGAAACAGATGACAGTATTCTAAAATAAGACAAAAACTTTTAACTGCAGGGATGCTACAAAACCATATTACCTAACCTCAAAAGGGCCCTTTATCATCTCTCATCTTTTCTAACCTTTTTTTTCTTT